GTTGAACATGAAGATGAGTGAAGATAAAACACAGTGTAACATGCTCTTACATGGCTTAGTGCTCCCTCTAGTGTTGAGGGAATTTAATAACTGGTATGTAGCTCAGATGGGATCTATATATAAGAGGTCATGTTTGCTTATTAGGCTTTTCTGATTTAATTATTATCACTTGCAAAACTTCTTTATGTGATTTTTTAAACTAAAGTGAATTCAGCATTCTCATGTCCGTCTGACCCCAACAGACCTTCTGTAAATGTGTATTTGTCCTGATCATGATGAGCTGACGTGAAGAAGAACTACATTAATACTGGAGGATTCTTTAACTATGATGATGATTCTGACTCTTAAAATACACAATTAAAAACCATAATGGCTACAAAATGACTGTATATGGAACATTTTGCTGAATTAGATCGAAATCTGCTCCCACAACAAAAACTATTTAAAAAAGTATTCAGAGTTTAGACATTTACAATAATTATGTTCCGACCTATTTAAACCCAAGGCATTAATAGAGGCTGTAATAATCTAAACACTTACAAAATCATCATTTACAGTGTTATAGTGTTCTGAGTCCTGAGGCAGATTGTGTTGGACTAACTAACATTAGCATTTTAAAGATTATTCTTTGTTCAAAAAACAAACAGAATGTCACACAGACCAAAACATTGTACATTGGATTTTTACCGTGTACCGTGCCAAATATGGCCGAGATCTGAATTTAAACTTTCATGTAGCTCATGTCAGCTCTGACAGTCTTTTCCAGAAGTGGCTAATAAACAGACTCTGCTTGCTTGGACACTGGATTATAAGAATAATTTCCCTCCCACAGAGGGATTATTTGGAATAACAGAAATATTCATTTCAATATTAAATTTCAATTCAACTAAAAAAAGGTTTGAAAACAATTTTATATTACTGAAACTACTTTTAAATGCTGATGGCCTTTTTTTTGATACATTTTTTTAATAAATTTGGAGTCACAACCAAAGAATTTGCTACAGTTTTTGATGCTACACCACAACAAATGATTCAGCTTCTTAAGTGCTCAGTAAACAGTGGTATGGACATCACAGGGAATGATCTCTTTATTGGGGAAACTGATATCCTTAAATACAAGTATACATATAAATATATTAGGAATGTCATATCAAATCAAAGTAGTAATAAACAACCTCATTGGTCATTTTGATTTGAGAGTATAAATTGGAATAAAACATGGACAGTTCGTAATGAATATTGTATGAATTATAAAGTAATATTTACACAGCACATCCCCTGTTAAAGTGTTTTAGAGAGATTTAGAATGATTAATATTTCTGTACCTTCTGTGGTTTAGAAAAGGAAACATTATCCATCTGTTTACCAGTTCACTGGCACTAAAGTGTTTTAGAGAGATGTGGAAAATGCTGTGAGAAGAAAGGCTGGACACTGTATCTCACTGGATGTTATTATTAATTTTTCTAAGGATGTTGAAGTGTTTCTTTTCATACAGTACTTGAATACTATGAGTAAATATCATTTACATGAAAAGAAATGGTTTGAATATCAGCCAAACTTTACATATTTCCTCTGTGAGGTTAAGGAATATTGTACTATTGTAAAAATATATAAATATAGGACTGTGGAGTTATATATTGATTATGATTTGTTTAATGTGTAGGTACACCCCTGACTGCTGTTGTTGTTGTATGTTATAATAATATCTGTCATTATTATAACGTAATAATGCTATAACATCATTATGTTAGTATCCACCTAATAAAGTCTGTCTGCAGAGCAGCAGAGCCACAGTTTCACTCCAGCAGGTTCAGGCCAGTATCATTCAGCGCATGCGCCGACACTTGTTTTGGTTTTTCATTGTTGGCTGATCAGCATTTCAGCCTTTTTATGTGAGTTTCCTATAAATTTGTGATAAATTTGTGTTGGGTTAACGTTATATTTTAAGCTTTGGGCTGGAACAGACTCTGGTTTGAACACATAGAGATTCACAGGGTTAATATTACACCAACTACAGCTGATGTGGCTCTGGGTAAACTAACAGGTTATGTAGACATATAGCTCAATAACCTACCCTTAATATGAGGGCTTTATGTAAACACTTATATTACATGTACAGGATTAAAACTTTACCTTAAGCAGCTTAAACTGAGTATAATATTAAGCTTAAGGCTGAAACAAACTTTAGTTTTTGAATGTATCCTTGTTGAAAAACCCATAAAATCCATTGAGTGTTCCTTTTAGTTTCTGATGGTTTTGTAATGTGTTTTGTTTATGGTTTAACCGGTTAATGGTTGATTCGTATACTGGCGACAGTCTCTGTTCTTGAATGCTAATATACATATCAACACATACACCCAGCACAAACAGTCGCTGTTTAGATCAGAGGCCTTATAAATGAGGAGCCACTGGATGAAATATGAATGAGACGCTGTCCTACTGCGCATGCGCTCCACTCGCCTGAAGGCGCTGTAGTGAAACTGCTGCTCCTGCAGCTCTGCAGCGAGACACTTCTGAAAACCTGCACGTGCTCAGTACGTCCGCTTTTCACAGATGAGTTTTTAAGGCGTGGAATTAGAAAATTTAGCACAAACATTGCAGTGAGTACATAAACTTTACAGTAATGAGCTCTGAGTCTCAGCGCGCTGATTCAGCTGTGCAGCATCTTCTGACTTAGGATATCAAAATAACAAGTTGTGTAAGACCCCGAGCCTCTGGTGGACCCCCACGGTAAGCAAGCGTTTCCTAGCTGTTCATTATAAAAGTATATTGTGCATTTCTACAGAGATCTCCCTCAGACACTGTGTGATGATGATGATGATGATGATGATGATGATGATGAAGTGTGACTGAGCTCATCAGGGCTCACAGCAGTAATGATGAGCTTCGTTATTTCTCCGTTTCATGTGGACTCAGCGAGTATCCTCTGCAGAGCTGACCGCTCTGAGCAGGTCCGGCATTATGTACAGTAACCAGTTTAATATCCCACTGAACTCATTGGGCTTTGTACACATGGCATATTCGCACGCTGCTGCTGCTGCTGCTGCTGCTGCTCACCGCGGCTGCCTGATACTAAAGATATGGTGAATGAATGAATCTTTACACCGACTGTCTAAATGGACAGATCTTTGATGATTTGCTGTTCTTCTGTTCAATGTGTTCTGAATGTTTGGCTCCTCTGGTCAGACCTACCGTCCCCTACTTTTGTTAGGCTTTTAAAGGAGGGGGGGGGGTACCTGCAGCTATTCTATCAGTCTGTTGTGACATATATAGGTATATTGCTACAGCTACAGGATCATTTCTGTTTTAAACAGGGGTTAACAGGACTGTGAGTGAGTATTTACATTCAGATCTTGGCTGTATCTGTAACAGTACAGTAAAAGTCCAGCCTAAAATTCTTCAGCTGTTGTGACAGTTTATTTGTGATTTCAACAAAGAGAAACACCAGGTTAAAATGCTCATTTTAGTTAATTCAACACAATCTGTCTCAGCACTAGGAACACTACTATATATCCTAATCTGCAGTTTAATTCAGTTTTAGTTTAAAATGGTTTGTGGCTGCTTAACATTTTGTGTTCATTAAACAACAAACCTGATCTGAGGTTCACTGAACTTAAACCTTTCTGTCAAACACGTCACTAATTTTAAATTAAAGAAATCTTTTTCACAGTGCAGTAAACATTTTGAATGTAGGTTTGTGAACAACAGTGTCTGAGTCGTGCAGTGGGCTGAGCATTTGTTCCTTCATCAGGAAATAATGAGATTAAATCCCATCAACACCACAGCAGTCTGTAGTTGGTAATCCAAGAGTGGGAAACACCACCTCTCCCTGAGCCTCATGGCACCGTGCAACAGGGCAGTTGTTGTTGTGATGACCTGGTTTTGTACTGGTGGTTTTGAGTGTTGGGTCAGTTCTGGCAGTGGTGGTTTAAAGGTAGCTGAGATGTGGACCTGTAATGGCAGTAAACAGGCCCGGTTCTGACCACCGCATCTGGCCCACTCCTGTCCCATCACTCCATGTGGTATGTGGGCTGCATCTAAATGCTGGATGTGGTCCAGGTTTGGGCCTTATCAAATCTGCTATCTGGGCTGCTTCTTTCATAACCAAGCATCACCTGTTCAAGATGTTGTGTGAATATTTAAAAAAAAATAAAAATATCCTACAATTGCCTGTTGCAACTTTTTGTTGTTGTTGTATGTTATAACAATATCTGTAATTATTAGAACATAATTATGGTATAATATAATTATGGTACGATATCCGCTTAATAAAGTCTGTCTGCAGAGCTGCAGAGCCACAGTTTCACTCCAGCAGGTTCAGGCCAGTATCATTCCGTGCCGACACTTGTTTTGGTTTTTCATTGTTGGCTGATCAACATTTCAGCCTTTTTATGTGAGTTTCTAATAAATTTGTGATAAATTTGTGTTGGGCTAGTTATATTTTAAGCTTTAGGCTGGAACAGACTCTGGTTTGAACACATATAGAGATTCACAGGGTTAATATTACACCAACTACAGCTGATGTGGCTCTGGGTAAACTAATGGGTTATGTAGACATATAGCTCAATAACCTACCCTTAATATGAGGGCTTTATGTAAACACTTATATTACATGTACAGGATTAAAACTTTACCTTAAGCAGCTTAAACTGAGTATAATATTAAGCTTAAGGCTGAAACAAACTTTAGTTTTTGAATGTATCCCTGTTGAAAAACCCATAAAATCCACTGAGTGTTTCTTTTGGTTTCTGATGGTTTTGTAATGTGTTTTGTTTATGGTTTAACCGGTTAATGGTTGATTCGTATACTGGCGACAGTCTCTGTTCCTGAATGCTAATATACATATCAACACATACACCCAGCACAAACAGTCGCTGTTTAGATCAGAGGCCTTATAAATGAGGAGACCGGCCACTGGATGAAATATGAATGAGACGCTGTCCTACTGCGCATGCGCTCCACTCGCCTGAAACCGCTGTAGTGAAATTGCGGCTCCCGCAGCTCTGCAGCCAGACCCATCTCGGTTCCGCTCGGGTGTAACTGTTTAACTGAAAACCTGCACGTGCTCAGTACGTCCGCTTTTCACAGATGAGTTTTTTAAGGCGCGGAATTTGAAAATTTAGCACAAACATTACAGTAATGAGCTCTGACTCAGCGTGCTTATTTAGCTGTGCAGCATCTTCTGACTTAGGATATCAAAATAAGTTGTGTACGACCCCGATCCTCTGGTGGACCCCCACGGTAAGCACGACTGCGTCTTTCCTAGCTGTTCATTATAAAGTGTATTGTGCATTTCTACAGAGATCTCCCTCAGACACTGTGTGATGATGATGATGATGATGATGATGATGATGATGAAGTGTGACTGAGCTCATCAGGGCTCACTGCAGTAATGATGAGCTTCGTTATTTCTCTGTTTCATGTGGACTCAGCGAGTAGCCTCTGCAGAGCTGACCGCTCTGAGCAGGTCCGGCATTATGGGCTCGTTTAGTGCCCAGTAACCAGTTTAATATCCCACTGAACTCACTGGGCTTTGTACACGTGGCAGAAGTGAAAGTAAGATTCGCACGCTGCTGCTGCTGCTGCTGCTCACCGCGCGCCTGATACTAAAGATATGGTGAATGAATGAATCTTTACACCGACTGTCTAAATGGACAGATCTTTGATGATTTGCTGTTCTTCTGTTCAATGTGTTCTGAATGTTTGGCTCCCCTGGTCAGACCTACCGTCCCCTACTTTTGTTAGGCTTTTTAAAGGGGTACCTGGAGTTATTCTATCAGTCTGTTGTGACATACATTGGAATATTGATGCATTTTGTACATACATGGTATATTTTCTTTCCAGATATAATCTTCTCTGAATGTCTTTCACTTCGAAATGATTATCCATCCCCCACCACCATTAAAGCCTTTTGTACCTCTCAGCGCAACATGATCACTTCAAGGGGAACTCCAGGAGGTTTTCAAATTTCTGCATGATTCAAAACTTAGATGTAAACAGAGTCATTCAGAGTGGTTTGGTGTTAAACTCGAAACATACAGAGTCAGAACTGTTCACAGTGGTGGTGATAGGAACCAGACGTCCACCTCTAAAAGCTCCCTCACAGGAAGTTATTACACTCCCAGTTCCAAAAAAGCTGGGATGCTGTGCAAAATGTAAATAAAAACAAAATTCACTGATGTGCAAATCATGTAAACCCTATATTTTATTGAAAATAGCACAAAGATAAACATATTAAATTTTAAAACTGAGAAATGTGTTTTTTGAAAATATTTGCCCATTTTGAATTTGATGCCAACAACACGTTCCAAAAACGAGGGCCTGTTTACCACTGAGTTTCATCACCTCTCCTTTCAACAACACTCGTTTGGGAACTGAGGAGACATTTTTAAATGATTTGCATATCATTTAATTTTGTTTTTTATTTACATTTTTCAAAGCATCCCAGCTTTTTTGGAAATGGAGTTGTACATGAAATGGTTATGAATTCACAGCCTGATGTCTGAGACACTGTTTTACAACAGTTTGATAAAGTTTAGGCCTTAAAACCCTGATGACGATCACTGTTTGATGAAAACTGCATCATTTTGTTGCATATACACACAACAAACTGTGTGTGTGTGTGTGTGTGTGTGTGTGTGTGTCTAGGTCAGTCATGCAGTCCTGCAGTTCTGCTCTCTTATCCTGATCTTACTGATCTCTGCAGTCACTGCTGGTAAGAACTGCACTGTCACTACTTCATCATCTTATTAAACATTTTGCTGTATTTTATCTTCCCCCTGTCACTCCAAGCAATGTACCTTATACTAAATGAATGATTAATTATTTAGATAAAAACAATATTTAAATCATTTATTTTACATGAATTTCAATTATTTTAATTATCATCTGCACAATCTTGCCGCAATTTAGTTAACTACATATTAATACTGCATGTTAAAATGCTCATTTGGCTCACATGTCTCAAAACAGATCTGGGCCACTTCTGGCAAACATTGCCAGAGCTGACATGAGCTACAGGACAATCATTTATGTTTTAAACAGGGGTTAACAGGACTGTGAGGGAGCATTTACATTCAGATCTTGGCTGTATCTGTCACAGTACACTAAAAATCCAGCCTAAAATCCTTTAGCAAAGAGAAACACCAGGTTAATGACCTGGTTTTGTACTGGTGGTTTTGAGTGTTGGGTCAGTTCTGGCAGTGCTGGTTTAAAGGTGGCTGAGATGTGGACCTGTAATGGCAGTAAACAGGCCGGGTTCTGACAACCGCATCTGGCCCACTCCTGTCCCATCACTCCATGTGGTATGTGGGCTGCATCTAAATGCTGTATGTGGTCCAGGTTTGGGCCTTATCAAATCTGCTATCTGGGCTGCTTCTTTCATAACCAAGCATAATTACATCACCTGTTCAAGATGTTGTGTGAATATTTCAAAAATATAAAAATATCCTAAAATTGCCTGTTGCAACTTTTTGGAATGTGTTGCAGGCCTTAATTTCAGACTGAATGAATATTTACCAAAACAGTGACAAATTGACAAAGTTAAAACACTAAATGTCTTGTTTTTGTACTGTTTTAATTTAAATATAGGTCAGTGTAGATTTATAAATCACTGCTGTATGTTTTTATTTGCATTTTACCTATATTCACAATTTCTTTGGAATTAGGTTTTGTATATGGGGGATATGGAGTTCTCTGATGGTTTACTATGGGGGTCTTAGTTGTTACATGTGTTAAACTAACCCCACTGTGTGGAGGCTGTACTTTAGCCCTCTCACTGTCATTTATGGCACCTCTAAGATAGCATAAAATCATCATAACTGTATGTGGTTCAGTATAGCCAGTACTGTATATTAACATACACCTGACTGGATCTCATTGGTTTTAAAGAATGTGAGAGAGAATATGAACACTTCAAATCTGCACCACATTACATAACTACACTTCACTCTCTTTCTCACTTAAAGTTCTTTTTTATGTTTTTTTCTCTCTTTCAGTGTCTGAATCAGCTGTTGGTCCAGTGAAGGTGAAGCTTCATGACTCTGCTACTCTGCCCTGCTCTGAGAGATGTTCTGGTTTGGTCAGATGGACTGTGTTCCATAAACCCACTGATTTTCTGGCTGAGTGTGATCAGACTTCATGTAGATCAAAGGAGGGATATCAGATGATCCATGATCAGTACCTGAAGGGGAATCTCTCTCTCACCATCACTGACGCTGATTTCAGTAAGAGAGGCTGGTACACGTGTGACTGTGATGGTAAAGATCTCTGTGATGTTCAGCTACAGATTGAACGTAAGTGTCCATCTGCTTTTTTCCAGAGGCTCCAGTGATTTTTCTGCAGTGTATCAGATGAACACACAGTGGATGAAGTTCCTGTTTGTTTTTCTTCTCAGCCCTAAACACTACAGTTCAGATAAAGCCTGGTGAATCTCTGGTGCTGAAGTTGGACATTTCAGATCCAGTGGAGGTGATTTATAACAGCACAGGTTCAGCTGGACCATCCAGTGGTCAGATCTGTACAGTGGATGGAGGTTCATTACAGTGTAAACCTGAACACACACAGAGAGCTTCAGTAATCTCTGCTCTTGAGCTGAGAGCAGTGACTCCATCTGATAGTGGAGTTTATACTGTAATGGACAAAAGGAATGAAGAAGTTATTCGTACCTACACTGTGACCATTCAAGGTATGAATTATTATTATTTTTTATTTTGCCTCAAGAAATGCATTTTCCTCTTGAGTCCTGATGGTCTGGTGGTGGTGTGTAAGCTGACCAAGTTGGAACTGAATACAGAGGTTCTAACCCTGAGGGTAACTATTTAGACATTGAGCTGAAGATTCATCTTTGGGAAATTCATATGACCTATTCAATAACCAATGGTGAACTAATATGGACGTATAGTATAGATCATTTTTTTCAAGTATGAAATGTAAAAATCCTCACTATTTTTGATACACCTTGGGTTGTGTCGTCAAGTGGTTGCACTGGAAAAAACTCTTGACTGTTGACCATTGAGCAAGTGCTGGTCAGCAGATCATCTCTGCTGTAATCTCTCTTTTGCTGCTGACTTTCAGCACACTTTCACAGGGGGTGAGTCTGCACTCTCAATTGGTCAACTGATTTGGAGTGACAGGTCCTCTGAGATGTAACCACTCAGCATGAATCGCCCCAACATGGCGGAACGTGTAATACAGAGTGCAGCGTTATACCAGCATATCTCACGTTATGAGCAATGTTTGTCATGTTCATGTAAATGATTAATGTAGCACATATTTATGAGTCCTGTGTCGACCTGTGTAAAATGATATAACTTGTTTGGGCATTGAAGATAATAAACTTGGTTGTTTCTGAATGAATGAAACTGTACCGTCTTTGGAGTTTTCAGTTGCTAGTGCTGCTAGTCAACTAGCAGGTCACCTTTATTCCTTTTGTTGTGATTAAACCTGACTTTCTCTAGACTTTCTCATGGCAGCAGTCATAGCTGGCAGTAATGAGTGGTGTTTTCCACTCTTTCCTGAGTGTGGGTTGGGTCAGCGCTGTGTGATTTTGCCTTTGACCACAGATTCAACGATTTCCTGACACAACACACCTGATTAGCTCATAAAGGGCTTGATAATCAGTCGATGAGCTGAATCAGGTGAATCAGGCAAGGAGTAGTTGGGACCGTGCAGAGTTGTAGGTCTCCACAAGCAGAGCTAATAAACTCTGATTTAAGCATCTCTAAAGCTCACCTAATTAGCCTCTACAAGAATATACTATAATGTCAGACCTGCCAGCATAATCTTTTCTGGCAGTTCTACACTGAGTATGAAGGGCTTCGCCATGGTCGAGGCAGATCACAGCTCTCAGAGTGGACATGTTTATATATTCCAATGATTGTCACTCCAAATCAGTTGACCAATAGTGAGTGCAGACGAACGCCCTCTTCTAAGAGCCACCCCTGATAAAAAGTGCCAAAAGTCAGAAACAAAAGAGTGATTCCAGAAGCAATATATATATATATATATATATATATATATATATATATATATATATATATATATATATATATATAAAAAAACTGGCAAAATGAGTAATACATTTACACTACATTTCAAAAAGTATTCAGTCACCCTTGAATTCTGGTGTTCCAATCACTTCCATGGCCACAGGTGTACAAAACCAAGCACCTAGGCCTGCAGACTGCTTCTACAGACATTAGTGAAAGAATGGGTCGCTCTCAGGAGCTCAGTGGATTCCAGCGTGGTACAGTGATAGGATGCCACCTGTGCAACAAGTCCAGTCGTGAAATTTCCTCACTACTAAATATTCCACAGTCAACTGTCAGTGGGATTATAACAAAGTGGAAGCGTTTGGGAACGACAGCAAACTCAGTCACGAAGTGGTCAGCCACGTAAAATGACAGAGCGGGGTCAGCGGATGCTGAGGTCCATAGTGCGCAGAGGTCGCCAACTTTCTGCAGAGTCAATCTCTACAGACCTCCAAACTTCATGTGGCCTTCAGATTAGCTCAAGAACAGCATAGAGAGTTTTATGAATGGGTTTCCATGGCTGAGCAGCTGCATCCAAGCCTCACATCACCAAGCGCAGTACAAAGTGTGGAATGCAGTGATGTAAAGCGCCGCCACTGGACTCTAGAGCAGTGGAGACGTGTTCTCTGGAGTGACCAATTACGCTTCTCCGTCTGGGAATCCGATGGACGAGTCTGGGTTTGGCGGTTGCCAGGAGACGGTACTTGTCTGACTGCATTGTGCCAAGTGTAAAGTTTGGTGGAGGGGGGATTCTGGTGAGGGGTTGTTTTCAGGAGTTGGGCTCGGCCCCTTAGTTCCAGTGAAAGGAACTCTTAATGCTTCAGCACCAAGAGATTTTGATTTCATGCTCCCAACTTTGTGGGAACAGTTTGGGGAGTTTGGCCCCTTCCTGTTCCAACATGACTGCGCACCAGTGCACAAAGGTCCATAAAGACATGGATGAGCGATTTCGGTGTGGAAGAACTTGACTGGCCAGCACAGAGTCCTGACCTCAACCCGATAGAACACCTTTGGGATGAATTAGAGCGGAGACTGCGAGCCAGGCCTTCTTGTCCAACATCAGTGTCTGACCTCACAAATGCGCTTCTGGAAGAAGGTCAAAAATTCCCAAAAACACTCCTAAACCTTGTGGAAAGCCTTCCCAGAAGAGTGGAAGCCGGTCTAGGCTGTATTGTTTAATTGTTGTTTCCTCATTTACTGCCAGAAAGCACAGAAATGTGGACGATTCAGTCTGAATGAACGAGCCCTGCGGCTTGCTGTTCATGCTGCACCACTCCTGGGTCTGCATCCAAGCAGCTGAATGAAAGGTCATTTTTATCAGTGTTTCTTGACTTTACCTGATCTGTAGTCGTGTGGATCTACAGGACTCATCACTGGTTTGAGTCATATAAAACATTCATGTTTGAAAATGTCAGAAGGTCTCTGATTTCTCCAGAGCTGCAGTAGATCTGAGAGCTAAAGGCTGACTCATTTACTATCTCACTTTACTGGATCTTCTGCATCGGCAGTCACTTGCAATCGAGCTCCTCACCTGGAAAAATGATTATATTACAAACCTGTGTGTGTTTTTCTTTTGTAGGTGACCAGTCAGATCTGGACACAGATGAAGGAGCTGCTGTACCAGAGTGGGTGATTGTACTGAGTGTGATGGTGGCTGCACTCGTAGCTGTGATTATGGTATCAGTGGTGGTGATTGTGCGGCTGAGGAGAGAAATTCAGCTTCTACAAGCGGAAGATACAAGTAACAGACATCAAAGGAATCATCACTACAGTCCAGGTGTTAAGAGACCGTCACCCCACAAGAATGAATGACCAGGTTAAGATGAGGATGAGAGGTTAATATCAGCATTTGAAATCATAATCAGCTCTTCTTTCTGAAATCTATAATTTTACGGAAATTTTCAATAAAGGTTTTGCAGAAAAACTGTTATTTTACAGATTTTTACCAAATTATTATGATCAAACACCATCAATAAAAATGCTGTGGCCTAGACTGGCATGTGTTTGTCCGTTTTCTGATTCAATTTCCTGATTCAGTTCCACTTTATCTGCAGATGTTACCTCACTGTTCATCTGCGTTTTAGGGGTTTATTCACCGTAAATTACATTAGAGACAGCAGTAAAACCGCTGTGGTTCACACTAGCAGCGTTAGCGTGGTTCAGACTGCTGTGGTCCGACTGAGCTGCAGTGGTTTTGGGATGGATGTTCGTTAGTTTACCGATCCGCTGAGCTGCGCTGGTCCATCGTGTTGAGAATCTGCTTCTGAGGAGTCCAGCACTGGACTAGACACCTAGCTAGCTACTTCAATTAGCCGCAAGCTGAGTGACCTGTTTTTCTATTAACAGTATACGGCTTCACACTGCGCTCAACAACCGACTGAGCAGATAAAAACTGTTACTTTACAGATTTTTTTAAATTACTGCGATCAAACACCTTCAACAAAGTAAAGGCACTAAAGGTTTTGTAGAGGTTACATTTACTGACATCAACAATAACATTCAAGCAGTGACAAAGTTTCACATTTATTTTACCCACTCAAAAAATGGGCCAAATTTGTTAAACAAAATATTAAATGATGTCATTCTAATGATGTAAGACAAGGAATGCAAATTTTACCAACTGTTGACTGATTCAACAGATTCAGTTTCTGAAAATTAGTGTCAAGAAAATTGAGCTTTATTGAAAAACTGTAGCTGTAGCTTAGCTATTTACCACCATGGGCTCAAATTCGAAACAAAGTGCTCTCAGCCCTGAATGACACAGGAAGATCAGGCAGTATAAATATGGTGGGTGCTGTCCTACATCAGTCATGTTGAGGGGTTTAATATCTTAACACTAACATCCACCCTAAGCGTGGTCAAGAATTTACAGTGCAAAACCAACTCCTTTAAAATGCCATTTCAAATATGAGCATGAAGAAAACTACAATTTCAAAAACCAACATGAGCTTAAAGACTCAGTGCAGTTTATTTGGTAAACACTTAACCTGAGCTGTAACGCCGGACCATCCAAAGAGATTTACTTTCCACCACATGTGAAAATTTTTCTGTTTAGCTTGTGTCCATCCAAATTCATCAAGATCTTCTGGACAAACTCAAGTTGTCAGAAAGCTGAAAACAAAGGCATGAAGGAGTCCAAATACCATGATGAATGCATTTCCAAGATTGTTGACCTCTTATCACAATAGTAATGTCCCATAGCTCAGCATCGTCCTCATTACCGTCTCCAAATTGTGTAAATCCCCATTGTGCACTCACATGTCCTCCACATCACCAATGACAGACCAAACACAAATACAAACACAGTCACTCACAGGTCAGTGGACCAGCAGACGTCTGCATTTTCAAGGCTTGTAAGTAAAACCGCTGTGGTTCACACTAGGAGCGTTAGCGTGGTTCAGACTGCTGTGGTCCGACCGAGCTGCGGTGGTTTTGGGATGGATGTGGGTCAGTTTACCGATCCGCCGAGCTGAGCTGGTTCAGCGTGTTGAGAATCTGTTTCTGAGGAATCCAGCACTGGACTAGACACCTCGCTACTTCAGTTAGCCTGAGCTAAGTGACCTGGCGCTTTTCGGTTCAGTTCAAAAACTGTTCTAAAGGACTTACAGCTTATCGTTCCTGCTTCTGCTACTTCCTGTCTGGACTATTGCAATGCCTTGATTTTCTGACTTTGGCATTACTTATTTTACTTTTGTCAGATTAATTGGCACATATGTGCTCAAACTCACCATGACATCACTGGCTGGGTGTGGCCAGAGCCACAACACGCATGGAAGATGCAACCTTGAGAGCAGTGTGGCTTTGTACTCTTTAAAAAAGACTGTTATGTTTGATGTAATGAAAAGTCTGTTAAATTTGTGTCTATTACAGAGTTTGAATGTAAAATTATACGAAAATATATAACAAATAAGATATACCTTAAAAGTATGAAGAAAAAAATATAAAATTGTTAGTATGGACATAAACCTTTATATAATGTGCTACTTGTTTAGTTACAGATAATTATTGTCTTTTTCCAGAAATTTGCATGTAATGTAAAAAAAAAAACAGAAAAATACTGTATAAATAACACAGTAATTTTTCTGTAAAACAAGAAAAAATTGTAATTTGTCTTTGTTGGCAGAATCCGTAAAATAACAGTTGAGCTGTTAATTTACAGATGTTCTCCGTAATTGTACAGAATTTTCTATATTATAAATATAATATCATTAAGGCACATAAATGATCTTGTGTGCCTTAAAGATAAACTTAAACTGTAAAATATTTACATATACTCTTCTACAATTACATATACTACATAAGCCTTTAAATAGCTCTTCTTCAGTGATCTTCATCAAATCCAAAACTCTGTCCACTTCAGATTCATCAAAATGAAATGTAAACAGTTAGAACAGGTCCTGGTCCTGTAGATCCACCACCCTGGATCTGGACATCCAGATGACCTTAAAAGCCTTTATTACCTGGATCAGGTGTGTTAGTTTAGGGGTAGAGTTGAACATCTGAGTGCAGTTTCCACTGGAATTTCCTAGTTAGCATTATGAAACATTTAGCTGTTGTGTTTTTTCTGTTTGGCCAAAACTTGTTTTGTGGAAAGAACTGATCTGGATACATTAGTAGGTTTTTGGTTGAGGAGAAACAACTCTAATCTGGAATTATCTTCTCTAGGGTGAACACGTCCTCCAGTCTAACTGAAAACCTTCTTTATACTGAATGTTTTCCAAAATTTGTTATGTTAAAACAGTGATCCACAGGAAATGAAACTCAGGACAATAATCATTTCTTCATGAACAGAGTAAACATTAAACCGTACCACAGCTTTCACTGATCACACCCATCATTGCTCTGATTAGCTTATCATACAGTTATGCTGAGTGGACAGATGGTCTTCATCTCTCATCACTCTGACCTTTCATGACCTGAAGACTTTCCTAAAGAGCACTAATCATATTCACCTCCTCTGTTTTGTCTGTTGTCTTCAGATGTTCAGAAGAGCTGGATGTGGAAGGATGAATATCAGAAGGGAAACAGCGATGGATTTCAGAAGGGACTGAAAATCAGAGCACTGGGATTTGGGATTGGAGCGCTGGTTCTCGGTGTGATTCTGGGGTTCTATGCTGTGCCGAGGGGGCTTTATTTGAGTGACAGATGTTTCCAGAGACTCAGAAGACGAGACTCCTCATGCGTGAATCAAACTGAGGATGTGGAAAAGAGTGTTCCCCTGACATGAGGGAATACCAGCCAACGGAATGACCCTCATCATAGGGAATGACTTTAAATCAATAAAAATGACACTGAAATTTACTTGTTTACTTATTTTTATGTCCCAAACGAGCTGATGCTCTCAAGGCCACTCCACCCATCTGAAGCTGGTTTCTTATTCCCCGACTTCATGTTCAAATTTTCCTGTTCGAACCTTAAATGGTGATCAGTAGTGAAAGTAGAAACATGGCTCAGGTCCTAATTTGCTGGTCCAGCCAGTGTCTTTACCATCCAGCATTACAGCTCTTTAACTGGACCCCAGTTTCCAGAATGCACTGGTGCTGCTGTGAAAGTGCTCCTGTTTCTGCAGGGTTTTATTCTCTGTTTGTGAAAGTGCTGAGTATGAGTTTTTTCCATTTTTTTAAAGGTATGAGAGTTATTTGTATCTGCTATTTATTACTGTTATACTCCTCTGTATGAAATAAAGTGTGTATTATCCCATGATTCCCTGGTGTTTCTTCAGTGAACAGCTTTAGCTGAAATGATCAGGACAGTGAAGTGTGACTGATTCTGACCATCTTCACTCTTGAACAGAAATGTAGATTCATCAGACCAGGCCACATTTTTCCAATCTTCAGCTGTCCAGTTTTAGTGAGCCTGTGTCCACTGCAGCCCCAGACTCCTGTTCTTGGCTGACAGGAGGAGAACCTGACCATGGTCTTCCACTGTTGTAGCCCATCCACCTCACGGTTAGATGTGTTGTGCATTCAGAGATGCTTTTCTGATCACGTTGTTGTACAGAGTGGTTATTATATGTCTTGAGTCTGTCATACATTGAGCACTTAAAGGGGAGATTTAATCCACAGATTTTTCAAAATGTCTACATAATTAAATAGTCAAAAAGGTAAACAATGTCATTTGAGTTTTTCTGCTCACTGTAGGTAATAAGTGAGTTGGGGGTTTCACTGTTTTAAGTAACAATTTAAATCGCAGAAATTAAAAAAGGGAATCATCAAATATAAACCTCAGCATTCAAGCCTTTACTCTAACGTATTATATTAACACTATTCTTATGATATGAACTGTAAACCATCTATTTATCATATGTACATAATTAACTAAAGGAATAATAAACAAAAAGTGAATCAAAACACAAAGTATTTAACAGTCAGTTTATAGTGAGCTGCTACCGGCTGCTGTTTATTTGTAGTAAACTATATCCAGTGATCAGCTGTGTGGCTGCATGTGCAAATCCATAATTCTAATTTGATTCACTTACATTATTATTATTATTATTATTATTATTTATGAGCCCTGTAAACTGTTAATACCTCAACCAGCTGATTAAACACGTACAATCAGTTGAACTCCAGCCTGTTTGGAATGAACACCTGCAGCTACAACGGCGCTTTAAGGATAAGACTGGTGACCCTGTGTTGGACCGTCATGCCTGTCATTTATAGCGTTATACTGCCATCTAGTGTACATTCACAAGAACAGCATTTCTGCCGTTCCAGTGAATTCCAAACAGCAGTTGTGGTTCTTGTTGTTATCATTGGTATTGTGATATTATGGTATGTTCTATTATTATTAATTGTAGAAAGTACCCATTTCTGTATATGTATTGCTAGTTAGTTGAATTCTTCGTGTTCAAAAACAATATTAGGGCGCTTTGGAGCTCAGAACTGACCATAGACTCTGCTTATACTTTTACTCTGGAGGAAATCTATAAATAAAACACAATACAGACAGTAGAACAAGCTGACACGAGTCTTTACTGTGCTCAGGTTCAGG